TGCAATTATCAAGGAAACGGAAGCTTAGCCAACATCTTTTTTTCTTTTTAACATAATTTTCAAGGAAATGGAGGCTTGATTAGCCAAGAATCACTGCAGATGGCAGATCTGGTGGTCTTCTTTGTATTTGGGATTCTCACTAATTTAAGAAAATTGATCTATTTGAAGGAGACGATTTCATCAGTGTGGAGGGTCAGTGGGGGGCAAATAAAACTAGTTGCTGCTTTTTAAATGTTTATGGCCCCTACAATGTTACGGGTCGTGCAAAGCTTTGGAATGACATTTCTGGCCATATTAGTTGTCGAACGTGCATTTTTTGTATTGGGGGAGACTTCAACTGTGTTAGAGGAGTGTATGAAAGGAAAGGCAGAATGATTTCTCATCCTGGTACTGATGATTTTAACCAGTTTATCGATACAAATGGTTTGGTTGATTTGCCGTTATCAAACAGGAAGTTCACTTGGTATAAGAGTGATGGGTCTGCCCAGAGTAGGCTTGATAGATTTCTTTTTTCTGAAAACTTTCAAGAGGCTTGGGGTGACTGTGTCCAAATAGCTTTCAAGAGAAGCATAAGTGATCATTGCCCTGTTAGTCTTACTTCAAGCAATGCTAATTGGGGGCCTAGACCATTTAAGTCGATTGACAATTGGACTTCACATCATGATTTTGGTAAAATGATACAGAGTTTGTGGATCTCTTTCCAAGTTGAGGGATATTGGGGTTTCAAATGTAAAGAAAAGCTAAAGGCTCTCCGAATGCATCTAAAGCAATGGAACAAGGATGTGTTTGGTAATATTGATAGCCAACTAGATGAAGCCTTAAAGAATATTGAGGCGATTGACATCAAATGTGAAGGCCAGGATATTACAAAGGATGATATGCTCAAAAGGAAGGAGGGATTTGAAAACCTTTGGCAATGTTTAAAGAAAAAAGAAAGTTTGTGGAGGCAAAAGTCTAGAGCTAGTTGGATTAAAGATGGGGATGCAAACTCTCGTTTCTTTCATAGAATAACAAATGGGAGAAGACAGAGAAATATGATTCATGGTGTTGATGACAAAGGAACCTGGATTGATGATCCTGATCAGGTCAAGTTAATCATCTTGGACCACTTTAAAAATCAATTTTCCTCCCAACCTCAAATCCGACCATCCTTGGAGCATATGTTCTCTAACCGCTTATCTAGAAAGGACAGAGAAATGTTGGAGGCTGAGTTTACTAATGAGGAAATCAAAGAAGCAGTCTTCTCTTGTGCAAGTGACAAAGCCCCTGGACCTGATGGTTTCGACTTCCACTTTATAAATTCTGTATGGAGCACTATTGAAGGAGATATCACTAACTTCATCAAAGAATTTCACAAGTATGGAAGGTTGGTCAGAGGTATCAATGCCTCATATATCACCCTTGTTCCCAAGAAGAAAAATCCCACGACTTTGAACGAGTATAGGCCGGTTAGTATGGTTGGGAGCCTTTATAAAATTTTAGCTAAAGTTTTAGCAAATAGGCTACGAAAAGTCATTGGAAAGGTTATCAGCATGACCCAATCTGCTTTTCTAGAGGGAAGGCAGCTTATTGATAGTGTCTTGGCACTCAATGAACTGGTGCATGAATTAAAAAGAAGGAACGAAATGGGCATCTTGTTTAAGGTAGACTTTGAAAAGGCTTTTGACTCAGTTGACTGGGATTACCTTGATTCTATGCAGTCTTCCTTGGGGTTCGGAGACAAATGGCGTGGGTGGATTAAAGAGTGCTTAACTTCTGCATTTGTTTCAATTCTTGTTAATGAGAGCCCCACGCAGGAATTCAAAATGCAAAAAGGGCTTAGGCAAGGTGACCCCCTTTCTCCTTACCTTTTTTTAATAGTTGCTGAAGGTCTGCATG